CAGATCTTTTTTTCCATATATTTCTCTCACCGGCAGTCTTCTTCTTCTTCTTACCGAAGACCACATTAATTCCCTCCACCCGCTGATAAACTTCTTCTCCAGCTAATGGTCTTAGAGCCATTTCATATTCTTGTGAGCCATTAAATGCCTTTTTCAATCTACGGTAAGGGTGATACCGACTAAGAAACCTTCTGTGACCAAGGTATACTGTCTTCCTGCCATGTTTAAGTTGCATATAGTGGGTGCCTTCTTCACATATCGGGCATGCTTTATGCCCCTTAACATTGTATCCTGACAAATTTCCATATGCTAGAAAGTCATTTATCGTGGTGAAGATCATGGCACGTAAATTGAAGGTATCTTGTTTATATGCATCAAACACATCAACACCTTCCTCCCATAATTTCTTCATATCCTCAATCAAAGGTGCCAAACACACATCGATATCGTTTCTCGGTTGTTTTGGCCCCGAGATCATCAAAGATAGCATGATATACTTTCTTTTCATACATAACCAAGGAGGCAAGTTGTAAATTACGAGGAGCACTGGCCAAGCACTGTGTGTGCTACTAAGACTACTATATGGGTTAATTCCATCCGTACAAAGCCCTAGCCGAAGATTTCTTGGCTCGCCACCAAATTGAGGAAATTTTTGATCTATTGTTTTCCATTGAGGAGAATCAACCGGGTGACGAAGCTTTCCATCACATATTTTCTCATCGAAATGCCATCTCAAGTTCTTTGCATCTATGGCATTAGCAAATAGATGCTTAAATTGTGGTATTATTGGAAGATACCACAGAACCTTCAAAGGAGAACCTTTGGTCATCTCATTATAATCACCATCATCTTTCTTCATTTTGTATCTTGAAGTCCCACATTTAGGGCACTTATTCAACCCTTCATAATCATTTCTGAATAATATGCAGTCATTAGGACACGCATGTATCTTCTAATATTCCAAACCCATCGGACACAAAATCTTTTTTGCCTCGTACATTCGTTTCGGAAGTGAATTCCCTTTGGGAAGAATATCACCCAGCAATTCAAGCAATTCCGTAAAACTAGCATCGGTCCAACCATTTCTTGCCTTCAAATTCATCAATTTCAATACGGTTGTCAACCTTGTGTAATCATCTTTGCACCCCGGGTATAAAGGTGTCTCTACATCACTACACAAAGTTTCAAAGGTGGAAGAGAACTGTGTAGAGGATTCAAACCTTATATCACGAAACATATCCGAAATTCTATCACCAAAGTCTTCATTCACAACCTTCTCATTTGCAGACAGTGTAGTCTTTCTAATTTCTCCATGCCATATCCAATTTGTATACCTCAAATTTATCCCATCACAGATAAGATGCTCTTTTATCTCAGAAATACTCCGTCAACTATTGTTTAAACATTTGACACAAGGACAATAGTACAATCCATCTCTTTTACTATGGGCATTTCTCTGAGCAAACTCAAGAAACTTTTCAACCCCATCCTCATATTCCTTGATAATTCTCTTAGCTTTCATCCAACTACGATCCATTGTTCTACAGATTATTTAAACAACACTTTACTATCAATCAAAATTCATAACGAAGAAAAAAAACACAAAATAACAAACAGATTATTTATTACTAAATTCTTATATTTATTACAAAAAAAATTACCAAAAATTCGAAATAAATATCAAAAAATTATAAAAAAATTTAAAAACTTCACAACTAATCAACTCCAGACATTTAAACATGTTTCTAATACAGTATATAAGAAGGAATTAAGGTTTTCTCACATCCAATGCCCACCAATCAACACCAATCAATGGTTTAACCACATAAAAAATGCAAAATGAACAATACAAGCCAACCACAATGTAAAACTAACAAACCCATTTCATATATAACAGATTTTCATGGCCAAAACATTCAACAAACCAAGAAAAATTGAAAAGAATGAAAGAAGAGGATACTCACAGAGCAGAGAAGATTTAAAGGCGAAGTGAGGGCGTTCGGACGGCGGCGGATGCACCACAAGCTCAATGGAGGAGTTTAAACGGTGGGATAGTGGGGGGTATGACCGGTTTTCGGTGGTGGGACAGAGTGGACCACGGTTGAGCAAGAATGACGCGAAATGAGGGGCGTTCAAACCACGGCGGATGGCGACGGACGGCGGCAAGGCACCACAAGCTCAATGGAGGAGTTTAAACAGTGGGATAGTGGCGGGAATGGCCGATAATGGCAGTTTTTCGGTGGTGGGGCAGAGGGGGACCACGGCGCACTGAAGAAATGAGAAAGAAAGTGACAGAAAGTCGAGTGGAGAAGGTAAAGTGAACACACTTTCCATGGCGGTTTTTAAGAAAACCACCGTGAAAAGTGTGTGCCTCCTCAACTTATTTACAAAAATACCACCGCGTTTTTTTCCACGTTGTTTTTCTGCTTAACCGCCGTTATTTTGCGACGTTAAAAGTCTTTTTTCTAGTAGTGATCCTGCCTCATCTCTTTCATCTCCTAGCTGCTATGGCTGAAGATTCCACTTTGGTTGGGGCCGTTTCCAAGGCTATGGTGGGTTAGGGTTTTCTAACTCTTGAAGGTGGTAGAGTGGCATGAGTTTCCAAGCTTCAAAGGGGTGTTTTAGTTTCAATCTGTAGTTTTTGGCTATGTTCTTATGAATTCCTAGGTTTAGGAGTTGTAATTCTTAGTTAGATACTTGGGTTGCTGCTGTAATCATTGTTTGATGATTTATAATTGTAGTTTGGATTGGTTAATGTTGAATTCTATGCTTCAATATATGTGGTTGCATATATGTTTCATGTAATCCTATTGATTCTCCTTTATCTTGCATGGTTGTATTTTGATATTGAGTTGATATTAGGTTGCGTTGAACCAATTTCATCGACCATTCTCAAATTGCACGTTAGGAGAGCTTAACAGTGTTTTCATTAATAAAGTTCATTGATTTAAACATTAGACTCAATGGGTAATTGAGGTTGTTATTCAAGAAACCAAATGATTTATGAAATTCCCAATATCTTAACCAAAATATGATTGCTATTAAAACCATTTTCAAGAGACTTCCTATCATCCATTTCCATTCCATCATCATCTTATCAGAAATACCAAAAATACAGTAGCTTAGGTTTATTTTCATTGCATTTGGTTTAGCTATAATTTAGTTTTAATCTTAAAAACCCAAAACCCCCTTTTCCATTACATGTTTTCATTGCATTTAGCTAGCTTAGGTCATCAATAAAGGCTCCTAAAAGTGAAACAAACCGAGTTTTGCACTATATCGCATGCTTGGATTTATTATTGCATTTGACCCCAAGGCGTAACGACACGGTCGAATCAATGATCACTGCCAACTTTAGATCATACATGGGGTAATTTTCTTTGTGTGATTTTAGCTATCGTGAGGCATATATTAAGCACCTACTCTCCTTTACTACATCAGCACACATCCCAGTCCTTACTTACTAGCATCAGTATACGCTAAATACAACAATGTTGGATCAGGAATAATTAGCATGGGAGTAAAAGCCAATTTATGCTTCAACTCTTAGAAATTTACCTCACATTTTTCATCACACATAAAAGATTGATTCTTCCTGGTAAGCTTGGTCAGCAGTTGGGTAGTTCGGGAAAAGTCTCAAATGAATCGCCTATAGTATCTTGCTAGATCTAGGAAACTTCTAACTTACATCACTGTCTTAGACTGTTCCTAGTTTAGTACTGCTTCTACCTTACTGGGATCTACAACTACTATATTTTCTTTGAGTGTGTTCAATACTATTCTCACGTGTTACTCATGTTCCTGTGGGATTTGGAATAGACCAAGATATCATCAATGAACACTACCACAAAATGATCCAAATACGGTCAAAAGATGCGATTCATGTAATCCATGAATATTGCAGGCATATTAGTTAATCCAAACAGCATTACTAGAAATTCGTAATATCTATAGCGAGTTCTGAATGCAGTCTTCAGGATATCTTCCACTTTAATCCTTAGCTAGTGGTATCCCAATCTTAAGTTAATCTTAGAAAATATAGTCGTACCAGTCAGTTGGTCTAACAATTGTCAATTTGGGAAAGTGGGTATTTATTCTTGACAGTTACCTTATTCAATTCCTAATAATCAATGCACAATCTCAAACTCCCATCTTTCTTTTTAACGAATAACATGGGAGCACCCCTTGGAGATATGCTAGGCCTAATAAACCCTTTTCCAATAATTCTTCTATATGCTTTTTCAGCTCTACTATCTCATTAGGAGCCATTCGGTAAGGAGCCTTTGAAATTGGTTCTATCTTGGGCATCAAATCAATCACAAATTCTACTTCTCTTTCTGATAGAAGTCTACTAATCTCTTTTGGGAATACCTTTGGAAATTCCCTCACTACTGGTATTTCCTCTATTCCCTTTTCTATCTCTGCCTATACTGCATTTGCTTTTCAAATATTATCAATTATCATTAAATGTAGCAAAGAAAACTGATTTTGAATTTTAAAATTCAAATGTATTTTTTTGAGATTCTCTCAATTTTTAAAGTCATTAGATGTAGTTTTCTCTTTTTTTGAGCGGGAGCATTGACATCTCAACAGGGACATGAATATATACCTTTCTGATTTAACCCCAGGAAATGGACCCGTATGTGCTTAATCACGTATGGAATTTACTAGAACCAAATTCATGCTTGTGTGTTTTAATCCGATTCAATTAAAATGACGAGATAAATTATAAAATAATATTGTAGCTATGGGTAAAACGAAGAGGAAGTAAACATGGCAACAGGAAAGAAATTGAATGATATATTATTAAAAATTCAAACTAGAAATCGATCCTTTTGCACAATGACATTTTCTAGGACCAACCGAATCTTTTTTTTTTGGTTTTTGCCAATTACGTTTCTTTCAGTCTTCAAATTAACGCAGAATTTACAAAAAATTGTAGCGTGTGGGGTACAGATATTATACAAATAAGCTATATATAGGAAACGAATAATAATATCTTAAAATTCGCTGACTTCACCTTCTTCACATGCACCCACATCCACCACCAAGGTTCCTATCTTGATCGACTCTTTCACCCTGCAACAGTTTCTCCGTGGAGCCTGCAAATTACCAAACATCAAAAGATGTGTATATGTTTTTTTTTTGGTCAAAAAAGATGTGTATATGTTAAATTGCACGTAAACCTATAAATTTTTAAAAACTTACATTAAGCTTTTCACGGATCTCTTAATTTTGCGAAGCAAACATTTTATATTTATTAATCCATTAATTAATAAGGCATAGCATTCCATGACTTAAAGTTTAGAGGGTGCTAAAGGGATGACATGTGAATAAAATAAAATTTAAGCGGTATATATTATAAATATGTACTATTCCTATCCATAAGTTTTACAATATTTAAGGAAGTTATTTTGAAGATTTTAGAATTTGAGTTTCCTAGAGATTCTAAGAGAATAAAATGCCTAATCACTGCTCACAATGTGAGTTTGACAAAAAGTATTTAATATTCTTCACTTAGCTCCAAATGGTTGAGGAGGTGGACAAAGGGCGCTGGGTTTGGTAGGCCTCTCCTGCAATGCACATGTAAACGGACATTGCGCATGCTCCTACCAGTAAAAATTAAGAGTTATTACTTTTAACATTTTCTATTAAAAATCAAGTGAAACTTTGAAACCCTTGAGCTCTATTCAAAAAATAAATAAATTTCCCCTTATACTTATATGAAATATACATCCTCAGAAAAACTGCATATTTTCCTATATCAAAAAATGTAATAAATAATCAATAATATGAATTTAGTGCCTTAGAAATAAAAAGGACCACAAATTCCCCCAACAAACGGCTTATAAATAGAATTATTAGAGGGATTACCATTATATAATATATATATATATATATATATCTTTTGTACAAGAAAAGAGAGTACCAAAAGATAGAGGATAAATATACGTACTCTGCTCCATAGATGTGGATCCGGCTTTTTATATACTTTGACTGTGTTAATTATTGAAGGAGGAGTCATCCTCCATCTGCATTCTGGGTGAGGCACGCGATGCCTTTGGTATTCACTCACAATCACCTGTGACGAAGTCGTGGAGTTCAACAATGTCGCATCTGAGAGGTAAAACACGAAGGGTTTCTGGCAAGGGTTTCGAGCAACCGGGCGAGTGTTGAATGGGAAGCCAGTGTAATCTGCTCTTTTGTGCCAGTTCAAGAATGTTCTAGAAGGGGCCTCCATTTCCCTAGGAGGGAACAAACCTCGGAAGATCAAAACCACAAAGCCCCACGACACAGAGATCGTCCAGCTCCTTGCCTTGTCGTAGCAAATAGACTGCTGCATCAGACCTGCTGAGTCAAGCTTCATTGGTATGCTCATTAGTCTCTCAAGGGCTTCCATTTGAGTCATGTTTGGGAAGATTGGTTCGACCAAGTCAAGGTGGTGCATCGACACTAATGGACTCACAGGGTGCGCTGCAAGTAGCCCCAGCAAGCTCCCATGCACATCAAACTGCTTTCATTTAACAAAATAATAGGTTTTGGTATTACATAAAGTATATATTGAAAATCAAATCAGTCGTTTATCGGTCGAACTCGGGTAGGTACTCAATAGTTAGTTGAATGAGCTATGAGACCAAGTCAATCCGATCGAGTTTTGATATATACTCTTCCGTTCCTAAATATAAAACCCTTATACATAGTAGTATAAGGATCTTATATTTAGGACCAGAGGAGTAATATGGTATTACACTAATGAGAACCGGCCATAGGACAACCGGTTTGGATGGAAAACTAGTAAACTAATGGCTCCAGAGCGATGAACTTTTTGTAAGCTTTTTCAATGAAAAGATGTAAGGAAAACGAGAATGAGATGCATCGGCAGAGAGAATAATGTGACATTACATATGCATATAACTTTAAAAATGAGTGTTAATTTACAAATAATACTGTTTTTCAGATTTTATATTATGTACTGATATATATATATGTATATGTATGGCATCATATAACGGTTCATTATTTTCCCTCGAAACAGAACACGGAATATATTAATACTATTTCAGAAAATGTGTAGCTTACCCGCCATCTAGTTGGGGGAGAAAACAAAAGGCAATAATGTTGTGTCGTAATTGGTGTCAAAATCTGATAATACCTAACACTCTAATCGCTGCAATTACGACTGTGACATGAAGACAAATTTTAGAAAGCTATACCATTAGAAAGGCATAAAAAATTCTAGACGCAAAAACCGAAAGAGTTCCATTCAATAGGTTAGTTCGGAAATAACAGAAATTCATCACTAATTTCTTATTTGTGGAGCAAACTAAATAAATATAATTAATCCCCACTGTTATAAATCTCGAAACCAAGGTCACCGACACGTTATAGTGTTATCAGCACGACGAGCAGAATCAAATAACACTAAATCTCACCCCTGTATCGCTGTTAGTAGAACAGGTACTGTGAATGGAAGTCTCAGAAACTATATATATATACACACACACACACACATCAGTAAGGAAGGGACCTGGTGAAAGCCGAGTTCTTTGGTAAGTGGAACGCCAAGCTCCGCCATACAAGCTTGAACCCGGTCATCGGAGCCGTACAGAGCAGGATACCTCTGTATACAGCGATCCTGCATTTTATGGAGAGCTTTAGCCAAGGGATAGCTGATAGCAAAGCCGCCGCCGCCGAACGCCATACTGTACGAGAGGTGTATGTTCTGCATGTGACTCTCTGACGAGCTTCCGATGTAATAGAATTGAGTGTGATCGTACTTCCTTAAAACCCTGAGGAGGTTGTCGGTGACGAAGACGGTATCGTCATCACCCATCACGAACCACCTCACATCCTCCATCCCCAACCCCAGCGACTCCGACACGATCCTGGAAATCCGAATGCCGGCACGGTGATTTAACGGGTGCGTGTAGGAGAAATTGGAGGTGTCGCCGGAGATCCTCAACGGCGGTAAATCATCGTCATTGTGGGCCTCAACGTGGTCGTCGAGCCACACCACTCCCCTCATTTCGGTGCTGTTATACCAGAGCTTGATGTATTTCTTCCTGTGCTCCCAGAGCTTCGAGGAGGCAGCGATGCCAAAAACGACATGGCGGAGCTCCGTCGGCTTTCGGGCTTGCTGCAATTCAGAGGCATTGGGATTGGGTACGGCGGTGAAGGAAGAGAAACGGCGCTGGGAGAAGGGACCATCGTGACAGTCACGAGAGGAGAGAAGCTTGAAGGAGTAAAGAAGGTAGATGAGAGAGAGAAAGAGGATGAAGTAGAAGAGGAATTTGGGTAAGGTTTTGAAGTGTGAGGATGAAGAAGAAGAAGAAGCTGCGAAGGGGATAGCATAGGGAACTCTCAGATGATCCCAAATAAGTTTCTCTGAATCTTTCATCGTAACAGAAGAAGAAACGAGTGTGGAAAATTAAAGAAGTGAAATTTGAGCACCTTGGTAGATCTGAGAGGAGGACGAGGAGGAGAAGCAAGTGAGGACAATATTTGCAGGGTTAAAGGGGCAAGCATGCATAGGTGGCAGCGTGCAGAGGAGCTTGCTCATGGACTGACAAGTATTTATAAAAATGGTGTGCTTTTATTAATTTTTTTTCTTTTGTCTCTGGTCATGGAGTTGGAGATTCAAGAGTGTTTGGTTAACCTCATTTGTGCTTTTAAGAAGTATTTGTTTTACAAATAAAGACAAACCACTCCACATATTTACTTCGTATACCATAAAACCATTTATGAAACTATGGTTTTGTTCTTCAATATATTACCTCCCGTCCAGCTCATTTTATTTTTATTTAATTTTGATCCTAAATATAAGATCCCAATTCATTTTGTCTTTTGTATTTATCTATTTTTTAAGATAGTTTTTGTAATAATAGTAGTTTTAGCAAATATACTTGATTAGTAAGAATATTTTAGGAAATACAATACCTGTTTATTACAAATAACTAACTTAACTAGTTTCTTTAATATACTCAAATTAGTCAACTAGTTTTTATATTAAGCACCTGAGGTAGTATGGATTTAATTTAGTTTGTTTCTAATATTTATCCATTTTGCTCTAAGAATGCACATGATTGATAAGAATAATTTAGAAAAAACAACATTCATTCATTACAAATAACAAATTTAAATATTTTTTTAATATTTATAAATTAGTTATTTAACTCTTATATTAAGGATTGAAAGTAATACTACTTAAAGGTAAAATTGTAAATAAAGACCTCCCAATATGTAAAATTATGATTTGGGACCCTAAATTTAGAAAATAGCAAATAAGGACCGGGTCTCACTTTTGCAAATAGGAAATCATAGTGAAATGTCTAAAATGGTCCTTAACCAAATTGTGATTTGATTTACTGAAGTTGTCATTCTCTAAAGTAAATTTGTCATTTCTTATAGTTAACTCGCCATTTGGCATACCTTCAGCTAAGTTGTGATTTTGTATACTGAAATTGTCATTTTCTAAAGTGAACTTGTCATTTCCCATAGTTAACATGTCATTTGGCTAAGGGGCATTTCAGACATTTCACCATGATTTCATATTTACAAAAGTAGGATTGAGTTCTTATTTGCTATTTTTCAAATTAAAGATCCCATATTACAATTTTACATATTAGGGGGTCTTTATTTGCAATTTTCTCTTATTTAAATATTATTTTCCGCAAGTTTGCCATTTTCTTTTTTGAAATTAAAAAAAAAAAAAACCAACACCTTGGACCATCTGGGGCAAAGCAATATTAATTAGATGATGACGGAGAGGGCTCCAATTTATAAACTTTCTTTATATATATATATATATATATATATATATAGAGAGAGAGAGAGAGAGAGAGGGGAGTTCGTTGGCCAAAAAAAGTCCCTGTATCGGTGTACTATAGACGGTATCCAGGATAATTTATGGATTTTTGTTATTTATAATTTGTATAATGATTTTTTTTTGGCCAAAACCTTGTATTATGATTTTTGGCTCATTCGACACATCGTCTCCATGTTAGCGTTAATTATTTCCATAATGCATATGTTATTTTCGAAATTGGCTTTCTTTCCTTCTCATATATACTGCCCCTTTGATATGAGTGTTGATATTGATCTATATGTAAGACATATTTTATATATTTATCAATTTTTTTTAAATTAATCCTACTGATATTTTTTCAATAATAATTGAGGGAGGAAGAGAATCAAGTAAGATGATTAGGGTGTTTTAAATATATATATCATAGTAACAATTTAATTAATATCCTTAATGTACTCAAATTAGTTAATTAAATCTTATATTAAATACCAAAGGAGTATATAGATCTTTTCTTCTCAAATATATATAGATAACAAGATTACAATCCACAAACTTCTTCTTCAAATTATCAATGAATAAATAAAGCTCAAAGGAGAGAGAAAGTAGAAGAATTGCTTTAGAAAAGAGAGACCCCATAATTGCCAATTTTCTCGCCAGAGATACACACATAATATGGATGGTAAATAATACCATTTCAGGAGGTCGCGAGCACTTTTCAATTAATTAATTGTTTTATCATAGTTGTGATTGACCCACGTAAATGCTACTCCTCCGGTCCTTAATATAGGACCTAATTGTTGAGTTGATTTTGATCCTAAATATAAGATTCATTTCTCATATTTATCAATTTTCTCTGAATTACTCCTATGGATACTCTCTCAACCATAATCAAATAGAAGAGAGAGAGGGGTATTAAGAAAGATAATTATGGTGTTTTAGGAAAAATGTGTCACTTTTCTTATAATTAACTAACTTACCTAAATTCTTTAATCTAATCAAATTAGTTAAATGGGTCTTATATTAAGGACCGAAAGAGTATTTCCATTTATAAACCATTCCCATGAAATTCAAAGTTTATCTTAAATTAGTTTATTTTATATATTCAACACATGATAGTATCTATTACACCTTACTTCTATGACACCTTAGAGTCCATTTAATATCATTTCAGACTACTTTGGATGCCCTTAACCTTAAGAAAACGTAATTAGGACGTTGGTTTCGGATTTACTGTTCATTTGGTTATTTTAGAATTTCTGTCCAACTTTAAAAATTCGTAACTAATTATAGAAAAATTGAAACGGAGTGATTCTAAGTCCTACTGAAAGATCTTTGAATTCTCTTTAAGGAAAAAATAATCTTAGGAAACAGTTCAGTGTGAAACAGTGCCAGATTTGTACAGAAGTTACTACTGTTCTATTGGTTAAAAACTTTTTCCAAATTTCAAACCCTAACTTTGAAAAATCACCATAAATCGTATAGATGTCCAATTCTACCTAATGATTTGAAGCTCAAGACGTGAACTATAGTCATTCCAAATTTCAGAATTTAAGTCATCCAGTAACATCATCAAAACACAACTCTAAGTCAACAGTTTAACAGGGTTACAACATCCATACATACTTATACATAAATTGTCAAAAGTCAAGTGGTTTCATAATTATACATCATTCATTTATGATTTTCTTCTTCTTCTTGGATGGTTTAGCCCTTAGAAAGATTGAATTACGTTTGGAAGGAATGAGATTTCATTAAAATCTTAATAGCAAAATAAATCAACCATAATATCAAATATGCATCATCATCAAGCATTTCAACATTAGCTATCATTGGAGAACTAATTTTTTCTCATAATTAGGAAATCTCTAACACAAAATAGCCAAAGCAATTTAATGCAAGGAGCAGCTACATAACAATCATCATAGTTCAACCACATAATAGCAATCATCTACGCATTAATAATCAATGCAATGGCAATATTAAAAGTTAATTAAATATTGCTACCTTGATCCAATTGTTTTCTTGATCTTTATTCTTGCTCTTTTCCTTCACAAATATCAAAGCCTAACCACATTACAACTTAAACCACATAATACTTAAAGAAAACACTTAAGTAACCCCTTAACTCTTAATTCTTTTAATTTTGAAGCTTTGTTTTCTCTAACCTATAAATTATCCGCTTAGGTCAATCCTACATAATTTTTCATGGAGAATTCAAATATAAACTTGGATTCATGAAAAGAAAACTCCTTCCTTCCCAAATAGGTCTGACTGAATAGGTGCTCTAGGAAATCCAAAAATTTCAACTTTAATTCCAATGCTTCCTGTCACACCTTACTATTATATTCACTTAGGTTTCATTTAAAACCAATTTAGACCACATTGGATGGTCTTGGGCTTAAAAATACATGAAAAAACGCTGATTTTCAGATTTGTACTGTTCATTGGGTAAAAATCCAATTTTTCTGGCCCAATTTAAAAAATTCATAACTTATTCCAAAAAAATCCAATTGGGGTGGTTCAAAATTCTATTTAAAGCTCTTTAAGTCTTCTTTCAAAAAAAAATAATCTCATGATCCAATTCCTTATGAAAAAGCATCAGGTTTTTGTGAAATGCAATACTATCCATTTGCCAAAAACCCTTTTTCCCAGATTCTGACCTTTAACTTTGAAGAATCATTAAAATTCGTATACTTAGCCATTTTTAACGTATTTGCTATCAAATTGAAGCTCAAAATGTTAGCTTTCATCATACCAAATTACGTGATTAGACGCATTCGGGAGCATAATCAAAAAGTTGCACGAACATGGCAGTGTTAGTGTGCTTACAGCACTGTTAGCTTAATATATACATAACCAAAAAGGGTCCACGAATTTTTATCGCAAAACACCATACTTTAGCCTCCAATCTACAGCCTGCTCATAGTAGTTTCAGGCCCTAAAATGTTAGATTATATTTGAGGGATGAGATTTTAAGAAATGCCAGTAGCAAGATCAATCAACCAAACATTAACATGCATCATTATAAAGCATTTCAACATTAGCTATCATAGGAGAACTAGTCTTTTATAAATAGGCAACCTCAACATGCAAGGCCATGGCAACAAATGCAAGGAGCAACCATATCACAACATCATAGTTCAACCATATAATAGCAAGCATACATGCCACAAATAACAATGCAAAGTTAACATTAATGGCTAATTAGATCCTATTACCTTAATCCAATACTTTTTGTTTTTCTTGCTGTTCCTTCTTGCTTCCACAAGTGCCAAATCCTAACATGGCAATCCACAAAAAGGGTAGCAAGAATCATCAATCATTCCTCATAAAATCAATAGCATAACTCAAATAACTCCCAAGCCCCTTAAAGCTTTCATCTTTGTTCTTGAATTTTTAGAGTTGGTTTCCATAAACCCTAAAAATTCCCTCTTGACTCAACCCCATATGATTTTTCATGTAGATTCCAAATATCTACTTGGATTTAACAAAATAAATTTTTCTCTTCCAGTTTCAGCTTGGCCAAACTCTTAGGGTTTAAAACTCAAAAATTGCAACTTTGCTTCTATGGCTTCCAACACTTGTTCTTTAGG